TCTGTTCTTGGTGATCATGCCTGCTTTTAAATTCTTTGTTAAGTGATTCATGCACATTTATCCAGAGCATAATTATCTTGATTAATATTGAGAAATATGATATTTATAATCCCAATGTTTAACAAAGTGCTACATGATTAGCCCTTTAAAAATAATTAACCCTCTTGTATATAAAATTTCATAATTTCATTTCAGATTATCAAGTGCCAACTAATATTTTCAAAATTTTAATCACCCATATATAATGGACTCAGTGGAAATATGTGAGAGGGTATCATAGCTCTGATCCTACAAATCAGTGGAAAACTAAACCACATTTTAGTATTTTGCAGCAATCACATTTTTCTGGTCTTCTGCCTTTTGCATTTAGTTGTTAGATGTCTACTATTTAATCACATAAATGATTTAGAAAAATGAAGTTATTAAAAATTTAAAAAAATTTAAACATGTTATTCTACACACACATTTACTGATTTGGCCCTGTTCTCACCTAAGAATAAAAGTTCTGTCTGGGTTCAGTAAGTCTAAATAAGGGCTCCCTCTCTACTCCCTATCAGAAGAAACAAACATTGAACAAATTTTATGTTGCTTATATGTTGATGACTTCTAAGGAGGTGAGAATTGTCAGAGCACTTTTCCTAGTGGAATATAGACCCGATGTGCTATTTTCCTGAACAAGCAGAACCAAATTCCTGTATCTCCTTAAATGATGAAGCAGTTACTGCTAAGCTTGTCAATTAGTAAGGACCTATGGTCAACCCATTGGGAATTACGAAAACAGAATCAATTCTTTTCTTTCTTTCCCTTCAAAATTTGGGGAAGCTTTAGGGAAGCCAAATTTTCTTTTATTCACAGATGTCTTTGAGTTTCATCAGTTTGTAAGCCTACAATGGTAGAAGAAAAATTATGATAAAAAAACAAATACTCAGAGAAAATGTCAAAATTAAAATATAGCGACTGTTTAATATGGGATTTATGACCTATATAAATATAAAATTGATGCTTATCAAGTAGTTATTTTTCCCCATGTCTAGAAAATACCTCCAAATTCCAGTAATAATGACCTTAAGCATGCCAAACTTTTCATGCTTATTATTTCATGTATTCCTCATCTATCTATGAGGAAGGTACTGTTATCATCCCCATTTAACAGATAGGGAGACAGAAATTTAAAAGCTGTGACTTGCCAAAGATCAATTTTGAAGTGGTGGAGCCTGGTTATCTACATCTGTTCGATTTCAGAGGTTAGGCTCTTCACCCCTATTATGATACCACAAAGAGAGTTTTTGAGTCCTTGGGAGAGAGATGGTTTGTACACAGAGAATTCTTCTCCCTTCATTATGTGCCTCAGGCTGTACAGCTACATTATCTTTCCTATATCCAAAGTTGGAAATGGCATTTTGCCAAGCTTCTGCAGAGCTTAGCCTTTAAGAGGGTGAAGGTGCACGTGATGTTTAGCTTTTGAGATTTCTTGGGCCTAGTTCCTTCACAGTTGGTACATTTGGTATTACATCTTTTTTCATATCAGTTTTTCAAGAAGCTGTCCTTACATTCTTGTTGCTGAGACAAAATATGGATACAGCTCACTTTTTTCAAACTTCACCTGCACTCCTGCATTCTTCATTGTTAGTCATACTTGCTAACTGTGTAACTGAGTAAGAACAGAAATAAATAATATGATGGATGGGTGAAGATGGGAGGGCAGACGTGGATCACAGGACAAAGGTCTGTTAAGGGAAATACCTTGAATCAATGCTTTACCTGGCATTTTTTTTCTAGAAAATTCACTCTTTAAATATGCACTGAGGAGACTTCTGCTTCCAGGAAGATGGGAGTAGACATACTTTTTCCTACTTCTTTCACTAAATACAGCTAAAAACCCTGGAACAGAAGAAGATTCTGAAAGGAAGGGTACCTGAGTGTCTCAGTCAGTTGGGTGACTGACTCTTGGTTTCAGCTCAGGTCATGATCTATAAATAAATAAATAAATAAATAAATAAATAAATAAGTTTCTGAAAGGTGGAAAGAAGGCAGATCAGCTAGGAACCTCAGGACCAGAAGACAGTCATAGTAGTGCATTTTCTGGATTTTCTTTTTCCTCATAGGTCTCTGACTAGGTACTAGGTACTCTGAACCTGGCAACCCAGAAATGCCAAAGGCCATGGGCCAGTGGAGACCATGTAGAAAGTATGGACCCCACCTTCGGGGTCACTAGAGGGCATGTGGGGCACAGTAATGAGGTGTTGCTTGATATCTACCTCTATCTGGCAGTAAGGAAGCAACCACCTCCCTTGCCCCGAGGCAGCACTGTCAGAGAAGGCCTGCTAAAATACAACCTTCTAAGATGAGCCAGCTTTTTAATATGATACCCCAAATGTCCAGGTATTTTTTTTTAAAGATATTATTTATTTATTTGACAGACAGAGATCACAAGTAGGCAGAGAGGCAGGCAGAGAGAGAGGAAGGGAAGCAGGCTCCTCGCCAAGCACAGAGCCCAATGCGGGGCTCAATCCCAGGACTCTGGATCATGACCTGAGCCGAAGGCAAAGGCTTTAACCCACTGAGCCACCCAGGCACCCCCAAATGTCCAGGTATTAATGGAAAATTATTCCAAGGAAGATCTCAACTTGAATGAGACAAGACAATCAACAGATGCCAATAAGATGTTAGAATTATGAGCATTTTGAAGCAGCCATCATAAAAGTTCAATCAACAATTATAAACATGCTTGATAAATGAAAAAATAACAAATCTCAGCAAAGAAATAGAAGCTACAAAGAAAATCAAATGGAAAATTTAAAACTAAAAAGTACACAGGCACAATCAGTGAACTTGAGGAAAGAACATGAGAAATTACCCAGTCTGAACAGCAGAGAAAAAATACTGAAAAGATAAAAAGCCTAGGGACAAGTGAGACAAGAACAAAAGATTCGACAACTGAGTCACTGGAGTCCCAACAGGAAAGGAAAAAGTGGATGGGGCTAAAAGAGTATTTGAAAAAATAATGGCTAAAAATTACCTAAATTTGGGAAAAGACATAAACCTACAGGTTTAAGAAGCTAAGCAAACCCCAAACAGGGCCCAAACATATTCATGCCAAGACACATCATAGTCAACCTTCTGAAAACTAAGAACAGAGAAAAAAAATCTTGAAAGCAGCCAGAAAGAAGTGATGCAGGAAACACATGGATTTTGGGTGTTAGAGGAATGGGTGGGTTACCAGCACTTCTTGTTGATTTCAATTATTAGCCTTTTGTCTATGTAAGTGAACTTAACTGAGCTAACATGTACAGAGCATTTACCAGACATCTGTGAATTATGCTGGCACTTGAGGGACATGTGTCAATCTCATTCCTCCTATAACTGCTCCACAGCAGATGTTATCCATCAGAGCAAATCAAGAAATTCCAGAATTTGGAAGAACCTCAAAAAAAAAAAAAAGACAAGCACAGAAATTTTAAATTTTGGATTTCTTCCTGGGCTTCAGCTCTATGAGCTACTTGAAATTAATCTAAAAATCCCACCATGTATGTGCATTTTTCCATGGAAAGGATCATAGTTTTCATCAGATTCTCAAAGGAGCTGGTGACCCTAAAAAGGTTAAGAGCCACTGTTAAGTTTCTGTTCTTTTCAGAACAGAAAGGATAAACCATATAATCCAACCCAGGTAAAAAAGAACCTAAAAATAGAGAAGGTATTCCTCAACCTATCTGTCAAAACTCCTGAATGCTACCTCATGATAATTCTCTACTTCTAAGGGAAAAATAAGAAAATGGCATTTTTCTAGTTCCTTCTAGGCACTTCAGGAAATACATCATTCATTAAAGAATGTTTGCCTGTAGCCTTATTTTGATCATTTTAAAAATAGTACCTGACTAATGCACTGTGATTTAGAGTGTGCTTTAAGTTTGATTTCTCCCAATGCCAATGAAAAAGTTCAGATGTATAAGGAAGAAGGAGCAGCCTCTATGCCAGTATCAATGGGCTGGTTTATGAGCTAAGACAAACTATTCTACAATCTGCATTCCTTTTTCCATCTTTCAAAAAAAAAAAAAAAAGGCATATAAAATTAAGTTCTATTAATTACACAATGTGTAACTGCCAACTTATCTGAACAAATAAATGTTAGTGCATTCTCTTGTGAAAAAATAAAACAGCTACAACAAAAACAGATCTATTCAGTTTGTTTGTATAGCTGTCCCTCACTTCTTGTACCCTCTACCCAACTCCTTCATGCAAGCCAGGTGGGTTCACGTGCAGGACCACACTATAAACAGAATTTTAGGTTGCTGCTGCCTGTTCTTTAATCAAAATTAAGACTCCCAATGTCACATGGAGAGCTAGAGATTGGATAATGCATTATTTCAGTAAAAAACTTGATTGCCTGCTTCCAGTAGGACTCACATATAGTCTGATTGAGTTTACTCAGACTATTCTCTGCTGGTTTATATCTACAGAATCAAAAGAATCATGAGGGCCTTCTGTTAAACATAGACTTCCAGGCCCCAACTTAAAATTACCACAATGCAACTAGGAGAAAGGTTTGGGAATCTGAAAATTTTTTCAAGTCCTTCAGGTGATTGAGTTCAAACAGTGTAAAAAAGGCTTCTTAAACTTGAAAATGCACACAAATTACCCTGGGCTCTTGAAACAAATGCAGATTATGATCCAAATGGTCTGGAGGGGGTCAGAGATTCTGCATTTCTAACAAGTCCGCAGATGATATTGCTAGTTTGAGGACATTTTAAGATCAGAGATGGTATGTTTCGTCTGGTTAGTGTGTAAATCAGTGTACGCTATTACCTTTTCCTTCTGTATCTGTGAATTCTCTATCAGGGACTTCTACCTTGAAACTGCCCATATCTCACTTATCACTGACAGTGTTACTATAAGCTAGTGTGATCACTTAAGGTAAGGCATTCTGCCACTTAGCTGGCATAAAAGTCCATACAAAGATAAAAACAACCTGAAATAAACAGAAATGAACATCACACATTAACTTAAAACATAATAGTTTATATTTAATATAGTACTTCTCATCATGGAGATATTATTCAGTTAATATAAACTTTTTTTTAACATTAAATCTATTCTCCATTTCAATGTCAATATAAAGTATTTTTTTTACATTAAATATTCTCTAAATTTTAACATCAGATACATTGAATACATTATTACCTTCTCCACCAAAGAAATAAAAATTTTAATTTCTGACTGTATTTGATTTCTAAATACAATATTAAGTTGGGAATAAACAAAACAAAAATCTAATAAAAATATGAAGAAGACTCCTCAATGATGGAGGAACTGGCAATTTCCTAGGATTCTGGGCAAGGGTTTCCTTGTTCCTATTTCATGCACTTTAAGAATTCTGAGAAACTATGAAATAATATGTAAATTTCAGTCATCTGACTTCTTTGACCCTTTAACTAGCATATATGAATTATAGACTGCTTTTTTTCAGTGCACTATTTTTTTTGTGGTTCCCCCCCCCCATTTAACATATATTAATTTGTTCCTGTTTACAGGGAGACAAGAATGTGAAAATACCGTGTTTCTTGGGAACTTTTAGACTTTAAAGCTCAGTTTTTAACCTCAGTAACACAAAAGTTTTCCAGGCAAGGTTCGATGCAGAAGGCCCATCACAATCACATCTGTCCATTCCTCTTTCGTGCATATACCCCCAAACAAGCACAAATGCCTGTAATGCTGAGAGCCACACCTAGCAAGAGAGCGATTGCATCTCCAGCTTCTACTGCTTCAACAACTGGCAGCACCAAAAGCAGTGAAATGAGGACCAAGAGCAACTGTGTTGAAACTGAGGTCATGATGTTGGGATCTTCAGGTATCTAGATTTCAAGGACTGAAGGTTTCTAGAAATCAAACGTGGAAACAAAAAGGAATCATTAAAAATTCCCACCTTTTCAAATAACAGTATGAATACATAAATAACAATCCGCACACCTTTTAAATTTAATTTTCTGACCCATATTCTCATTTTATGGTAGAAAAAACAGGTTAAGTTTATAAAAGGTATGTAAGGATGGTCATTTGAGGCTCATCTTCTTTCCATGTTAATTCCTTGACTCCAGCAAATTTTCCACACTCTTTCATGCCGACACCGTGTGACTCAACTAAGCAAACTGAACAGAACATATTAAGAACAAAGAGAAAACATGCAAGACACTCGGAAACTGAAAATATCCCAGTGAGTAAAAATTACATTTCCTTAGGATTTCTCCCATTCAGGAAATGCAGACAAATCTGGCAAAAGTCACACCAACATGTAAGTCTGTGAAGTTGTGGGGAATTAGTAAAACTTACCAAAAAAAAAAAAAAGATTTACGTATAATCCTCTCTGATTCGAAATCGTTCCTTCCTGGAGTTCCGGATCGCTGAGGCTAAGAGGTTTCACGTGACAGAGCCTATTAATCAGAAGAAGGTAGGATTTAAGAATTATTCACCATCACCATCATCAGCATTATTATTATTAAAGAGACAGCCATAGTCCGTGCAGAGCGAAGAGGTCGTAGGGAAGAGAGAGGAATGTCTAACTAGAGAAAACAGTTTGTTCAAGCAGGGGAACTAGATTTAAAGTTGGTCAGTTCGCCCGCCCAGTTAAATCTAAACATAAATCAAACCCCGAGACGAGTTCGAGCCAGGACTTGAGATTAAGATTTTAAAAAGAATCCCTGCTTTGTCCCGGCGAGGTGCAAATATTAACCCTGTTTTACAAATACACTGAAGCAATCTTAAGTATCCTTTGGAGACGAGTTCCTACATTACCTTCCCGGAAGCAGCCATTAGAGGAATGGCGAAGAGGGCGGGGTCTCCAAACTACACTTCCCACAATCCTCGCTGCGGTCGACTCACAGGATGCGCCGGCGCGCTCCCCTGTAACTGGCTGAGAGAGTGACGGGCACGCTGCACGGGGGACGAGGAGGAGCAAGCCTGAGAGGCTTCCTCACACCAGCATTTTACCGGTAAAGTGGTTTAGTGTGTTTGTACAAACGCTCTCTCAAAAATGAGATAAAGAAATGACAGCAAGTGGCTTTTCCCCTATTTAAGGTTTTAAGCGACACAAATAGTTATGTCTTTTTTTTCGACTGAAATGACAGAGCAGCGGAAGATACCACCCGAGGACAGCCATCTGTTTCAGACCGTTTTAAACTAGCGGCTTCCAACGTTTTGGAGCAGGGAATCCCCTGTCACCATCTTCCAAATGTGCCTTGTGACGTTTTGTTCATTCCCTTTAAGCAATGGGGAAAACACGTTTAATTAGACGTTTTGAAACATATTAAGACCATTTGTAGGGAAACACAAAGTTCAGGAAAAATGGTTTATAGGAAGATCTTTTTTATTCGGGTTCTGGAGTTAGGGGAATCCCCATTAGCTCAAGAGTGCAGTGTCTGTATGGTACACTTAGTGATTTCTTAAACATGTCTTTATGATACCACACTATTTGCCCCCAAATATTTATGAAAAGATGTGAAATTACTACTTTTAAGTCATAAGTGAATTATTTGCATATGTAAGTCAACCCTTTCTGAAAGGCATACCTGAACTCCAATATCTGTGCAGTCCTTAAATGAAACTTCTAGTCACACCTAGCTTTCTGTACTCCCATTTACTGATTCGACAATTTACTTAGCAGCCTCAGATAGTAAGTTATTAGTGATGTAGGTTAAGGATGAAGTCACCGCCCTGTCAGAATCAGTCAGTCTCTCAGAGCAGATGCACTCGGCGCAGTGCCCATATCTCGTACCTTATCTTTTTTCATAAAGGTTACTAATCTCTCTAGATTGACAGCAAAGGTTTACATTCTTGTATCCTAACAGGCACCCAGCAATAAAGTTGGCTAATCGTAATTATTTGAATAAATACACGTGCCAACAAGATTTCATGAGACAAAGAAGTGCCAAATAAACAAAAAGTCTCTTGCGTGTTGGAAGTCTGAGGATAACTACACAATAGTATTGTTAGCGTTGCTTCTCTAAATTTGATTGTTTTAACAAACATCTGTCTTTGCCTCATTTGTTTTAAACTTTTAGTTTTCTACCTTTCCAATCAAGTATATTTGAAATATATTACAAAATATTATCTTGTATTTTAGTGTGAACATTTTTTGGATTTTATTTTTCCCTTTATGTTTATTTCAGTAAGCTAAAGTCAGCAGAGATTACTTTAAAGTTAGTGTTATTATAGGCTTGTTTCTAAGTGTGTCAACATTGAAGATAGTGGTTTGAAGTTTGAAGAGTCTATGGAGGGTAGAATGCTTTTTCTTTAAAATAATAAGATGTCAATTAATGATCCGAATAATTTGAAACAGTGTCAGAAGTTTGTGCAGAAGTGTTTTGGGCCCAAGTAGTTTTAAAATAAAGTTGATTAGCTTTCTCTAACTAGCACCCACCCCATTCAGACAATTAATAAATGTATTGCTATATATGCTTTCGTGTGCTTTATCCCAGTCCTAGCATCCAAGATGTATGGTATCCTAGTTCTCAGCTTTTTCTTACTACCCTCATGATTAAAAAAATTAATCACATATTCCTTTGCTTAAAACTATCCAGTTTCAACACATTAAGCTGAAGTCCAGACTCTTTATCTAGACTCACAAAGCTCTATACATTCTGGCCTCTCTGCTTCTCTGATATCAGTCCATCACTCTTCCATGCCCATTCCATTCTAATCACATTCACCTGTTTGCTATTTCTTAAACATGCAAGTTTTGTTGTTTCCTATTGAATTTGCCCTTCTTGTTGTCTCTGCCAGTAATACTTTTCCTACGGACATTTTAATGGCTGTTTTCTCAAGGTTCTGCTTAAATGTCACCTTCTTCCCTGAGCACCTCACAAAAGATATCTCTCCCGTTAACAGTCTATCCACTTTCTTGCCTTACTTTTTCTTCATAAAGTCTATCATTGAGATTATATTATTTATGTATTTGTTTATGTGTGTAGTAGGTAAACAAATACAGTAAACTGAAAATTCCATAAAGGACAAGAAATATTCTGTTTTATTCATACTGAGCTCCTAGCTACTAGAACAGTGTCTAGCATGATAGGTACTTAGAAGGTATTTTGTGAATGAATGAACATTAATATAAGACTACAATTTGATTAATATTTACTTACCTTTATAGTATTCATGGTAGAAACTACCTTATTTGTAGGATTGGCTTTTGGGCCAAGTATGAAGATACCTGATGATCTAGACTGAGCTTACTTTGAGTCTTCATTCAAAATTTGGTCTTATATATTTACCCATAATATTATTAACAAGAATTTACATTTATGTACATATAAGATATAGTAGCATCTAAAACAAGAACATACTTTGTTTAGGAGGCTGTCTATAATGTCCCTACTTAGCTCCTCTATCCACTTGAAGCATCAGGATTTTGACAACAAAAGTTGATTAAGTCTACCTGGATCATGTATTTTTTCCTTAATACTGGAAAGTTTCACTTTAAATACTTCTTAATGTTGGATGAACAATATTGACATTTTTGGTGATAATGCTTTATTGTGCAGACACAATACTGCAGGATGTTTAGCATCCCTAGCCCATGCCCACTAGATGCCAGTAGGATCTCCCAGTCACAAGGACCGGCCTCACAGCTGCCCTCACACATTGCTAAATACTCTTTGGTTGTAGATACTGTCCCTAGCTGAGAAACACTCCAGATTTCATGAACAAAATGAAGGGTATAGTTGAGAATGGAATGAAACCAAACAGCAAAGAGTTTGCACACTTGGGTGTATGTGTATATACACACACAAACGTATATACAAACACTCTAACATGGCAGGGTCTTCATAATTTAGATCCTCTTCCTTTAAATATACTGGTTTTATGTTTTGTGTTATGTACAGATACTTCTCTTTTTCCTGTTAGCATCTCTACCAGACAGGTTCCACTGGTCATTTTCTTATAGCAACCCTGATATGTAGATTGGAATGAGATTTCTGCTTTTATATCTGCCACTCAGCTTAGTCTTTAAGCTGCAGAAAGCTAGTATGATATAGTGTAAGGAATATTAATTTTTTCCCTTGGTGGCTTTGTGGATTTGGGTATTTATTTACTCTCTCTGAGGCTCAGTTTCCTTTTACAAAATATGTTGTGAGAAGATTAAAGAAATATTTTTAAAGTGAGTGAAAAAGTGACCAGAGAGCAATACTCCTCAACTCCCCCTTTAATTGTATTTCTAAATCCCTGGCTACTGGTTAAAAGTTAGGGTTTCTGGGTCAGACTGCTTGATCAGAATTCTGCCTCTGCTGCTTACTAGCTGTATGACAATTCTAAACTGTTCTAAGACTCAGCTTACTATCTATAAAATTGGGTATAGTAATATCTACTTGTTATGTATAGTAGGAGGATTAAATGAACTAGTTCCTCGAATTAGTAGCTGGCATGTAGTAAGCCTTCATTGAATGTTAACCATTTAATTTGCTGTTTTTTTTTTAAAGATTCTATTTATTTATTTGACAGAGAGAGAGAGAAGAGAGATCGCAAGTAGGCAGAGAGGCAGGCAGAGAGAGAGGGGAAAGCAGGCTCCCTGCTGAGCAGAAAGCCCAATGTAGGACTCCATCCCAGGACCCTGAGGTCATGACCTGAGCTGAAGGCAGAGGCTTAACCTACTGAGCCACCCAGGTGCTCCTAATTTGCTACTGGTTGCTTTTAATCAAATCCATGAAATATGAAGTCTTTAGGGTGTGGTTTCTCTCCATTGTGAATGTGCTCTTCTGCATAGTAAATAGCAAATGCTTGTGGAAACGTTGGATGCAGGCACATTTTAGGCACCCTAGGCTTTGGGTTGAGGGCTAACAAGAAACAGTCTCCAAACTCTAAATCTGTGGTAGTTGTAATAAAAAAGAATCCAGTTGTTGCCTTGATGGCATTTTCTATTTAACTATTTCATACCTATTGGGGGTTATATTTATGTTTAAAACATATTCTCGGGAGGAGTCAAGATGGCGGAGAAGTAGCAGGCTGAGACTACTTCAGGTAGCGGGAGATCAGCTAGACAGCTTATCTAAAGATTGCAAACACCTACAAATCCAACAGGAGATCGAAGAGAAGAACAGCAACTCTAGAAACAGAAAATCAACCACTTTCTGAAAGGTAGGACTGGCGGAGAAGTGAATCCAAAGCGATGGGAAGATAGACCGCAGGGGGAGGGGCCGGCTCCCGGCAAGCGGCGGAGCAGCGGAGCACAAAATCAGGACTTTTAAAAGTCAGTTCTGCTGAGGGACATCACTCCAGAGGCTTAACCGGGGTGAAGCCCACGCGGAGTCAGCGTGGCCTCAGGTCCCGCAGGGTCACAGAAGGATCGGGGGTGTCTGAGTGTCGCAGAGCTTGCAGGTTTTAGAACGGGGAAGCCGGCTACAGAGACAGAGCCGAGGAGTGAGCTCTAAGCTCGGGGTTACCTTGAACTGGTCGCAGGCTCGGTCAGCTCAGAGCGCGGCCGGAGGCCAGGGTGACGGGAGTAATTGGGCGCTGTTCTCTGAGGGCGCACTGAGGAGTGGGACCCCGGGCTCTCGGCTCCTCCGGGCCGGAGAACAGGAGGCCGGCATCTTCATTCCCGCCCTCTGGAACTCTACGGAAAGCGCTCAGGGAACAAAAGCTCCCGAAAGCAAACCCGATTGGATTACTCAGACCGGCCCCGGGTAAGGGCGGTACAACTCCACCTGGGGCAAAGAAACTTGAGAATCACTACAACAGGCCCCTCCCCCAGAAGAGCAACAAGAAACCCAGCCAGGACCAAGTTTACCTACCAAGGAGTGCAGTTTCATTACCAAGGAGAGCAGCGGAATTCCAGAGGAGGAGAAA